GGGGGAGAATGTTTTATCCTTGCAGCTTTATGCTTTGACATTGAACATGTTTGCTGAAAAGTATGTTATGAGACTTACAAGAAAGTGCAACACAGGAGAGATTAATAGGGCTTTTCTGTGCTGCAGTCTTAAGCTGTAATAAAGTGGCTGGAAATGAAGTCAGTTTATGGAACCCTTTTCTGGATTTTAACCCTTCCTCAGGTTTCATCATGATGATGGTGAAATATTCTGTCCAGATGGCATTTACCATGACTCCCCTTTTTCTCTACCACTCATGCCAGGAAAGCAAGCACTAATGGCTTTCCTTTTATGGGGAGGTCTTTGAGCATATGCGGTTTCCACTGATAGCCCTTTTTCATGGGCCCCCATCTGATGAATCCCCATCATACTTGAACCCTTTCCATTTGGTGTGACTATCAGCTTTTTTTTTTTAACCCTTAGAGGTAAAAAAACAAGACCAACAGTTTACAATTCCTCCAGTCACTTGAACTAAAAGGAGAAAGTAGCAGAACTCTTGCCAATTTCACCTAGTTAGACAGAAAGGGAGGCAGGCAGAGAGAGAAGAAAGAGACGGGTCCAGTGGACCTCTAAAAGCTTAGTGGACCTCTAAAAAAAGAAAGTGACTGGTCAAAGTTTGGCTTATGGGAACAGTTGGGATTGTGCTGGTATACTGCCCTTGCTGCTGCCCAGCATCATCCCTGTCTGAGTTGCTGGACTCTGTCATTGGGCTGGTGCTAGAGTCCCTGAGGCTGTTAGTGCTCAGGGATTTCTGTCTGCCACCTGGTGACATTGAGTCTGGGGCAGATCAGGAGTTCTTGGCCTTCATGGCAACCATGGATCTTCCATGTTATCTAGGGCCCAACACATAATGGTGGCTGCATGTTAGATCTGGCTTTTGTTGGGGGGCAGTTGCAACATGACCTGGTAGTGGAAGACATTAACGTCAGTCCATTACTATGAACAGTTCACTCTCTGATTGCCTTTCATCTCACTGATGTCACCTCTCCCTGCAGGAAAACAGGGTCTGTTTGATCAGCTCACCCCAGGCGATTGATGGATCCAGTGAGGTTTCAGAGGCAGGGGTTTCACCAATTGGGGTTTTCCCTGAGGATCTGGTGGCTGGTTTGGCTAAGGCCTTAATTGCTGCTTGGAATGGGTGGGAGGCTGGGACCTTGGACCATATTGCCCCTACGCAGTGTCACCTTGCATGTGTACTGATCACGGGGTGCATATTGGTTTACTGAGGAGCTCCAAGAAATGAAGGCCCAGAAGGCCTGGAGAGATCCGTTGGAAGAAGACTCAGAGCAAGTCTGATCAAGACTGGTAAGGCCCCATATCGCTCAAGAGCAGCACAATATCAATATTTCTCCACCCTGATTGTATCTGGTAGCATGGTTTAGAGTGACCCAGTCCCTGCTGGACAGGGAGAGTCCCCAGATCATCTACAGGGCTGCTGTGAGGAATATTCTGGGTATCTGATGGATAAAGTTGCTCAGATCCCCTCCCACTTGGACTCTGACTAGGCAAGTCCAGGTGAGGTGCCTGGGGCCCAGTCTTGTGATGCGATCTCGGCTGAGTTTGAACCAGTGAGTCCTTAGGAAGTGTACAGGGTTCTCTGTGCTGTCAGTTTGACAATCTGTGTATTGGACTTGATACCTTCCTGGGTCGTGGAAGCAGCCAGGGAGGTGACCTGTTGTTGGGTCCATACTGTGGCATTAGCCTCTTTGAGGGAGGGAGTGATTCCTCCTGCCTTGAAGGAGGCAATGTATGGCTTTATAGGTCATAATCAGCACCTTGAATTGCACCTGGAAATCTAGTGGAAGCCAGTGCAGCTTGCAGAGTAGCAGTGTTACATGGACATAATAAGATGTATCTGTAATTACCTGCACCACTGCATTGTGGACCAACTTGAAGCTTTCAGATGGTCTTCAAGGGCAGCCCCATGTAAAGCACATTGCAGTAGTCTAATTGGGAGGTGACTAAAGTGTGAGTGACCATGAGCAGGGCCTCCTGGTTGAGGAATGGGCACAAATGGGCCCACACAGTTGTGCATCTCCCCCCACCCTCACCACAGCTGTTAACTGCTCTTTGAGCAAGAGCTCTGAGTCTAGGAGAATCCCCAGGTTGCTCAACAAGTCTGAATGGGTGCCGCCATCCATAACCAAAGATGGAAACTTTCCAACTCCTGGATCTGGGAGACAGAAAATCCATAAGCACTCAATTTTGCCAGGGCAGGGTTGAGCTGCAACCTGCTTTTCCCCATCCAGACCCTCACAGCCTCCAGACACTGGGAAAGAACCTTGACATCTTCACTTGGACAGCTGGGGATGGAGATGGATACCTGGATATCATCTGTATATGTCTTTCCTGTATCCCTCCTGACTATGAAAGTGACACTGTTCCTTCTTTGTTTCTTTTTGTGTCGTGAATAGTAAACAGCATGACTTTCTGACTGAAAGTGACCAATTCCAATCCTTTTCAGTTCACTGGTGCCTAAGAGGTCAATGTGTAGTTGGTTCATTTCACTTTCACGTGGGCTTTCCCACGTTCGTGCTTCTTACGTTCCATGTTCCGCTCTAGTTCTCTCTTTATAATTTGTACTCTAAAACATCCTCAGCTCTTTATCCTCAGTAACATCCTAGATGGCATGTGAGTGCTATCCAATCTGAGGGGTCTGTCATCCAACATTATATCATCTGCCTATCCATTTGGTTTTCTTAATAAAATGCAGATTTGCCATTGCTTTCCCCCATCCAGTATGAAATGATTCTTTGTGTTGTCACTAAAATGGTAATTTGCTTCCAGCATCTTCCTATATTTCTGCTGTGCAGTAAGTGCCTCCTTGCTTTAGCTGAGCAGTTGGGATGAACTTCACACCTTGGATGATACATCTGAGATCTTGGCATACATTCCCAACATTCTTCACTCATCCCTCCCAGGAACACCCCCTTGCCACAATGAGGCAGCATAGCAGGACTTGAGGGGAAAGTGTTCTTCAATAGTATTCATTAATACTATTCATGGCTGAATAATAAGCTGAACTCAAATTCTTAAAAATGCATATGACTCGTTTTCTCTTTCAGGTGGCTATGCTCCATTTCTTTCTCTGGCAAGTCGTGGACTCGAAGCTGTGTCTCAAAATGATGAGGATGATCTTCCAGGGCCAGGATCCTATGAGATTGAGAGAAGACAGGTAGAGCTATATTAATAAACTTGTTATAAAAATAATAAGAGACCAAGGAATAGTAAATGTATTTAAGTTATAGTTGAAAACTTATATTTCTTCAAAAATACGTTTTGTTGAGCCTACCTATTTCTCTTCCAAATTAATGATTTATTTGGAGTGGCAGTTCTAATCCCAATTAGTTGACTTTTAAAATACTTTTGTTTCTTACTTTTAATTTCTTACTTCTTTCTATAATGGTTGTCAAATTATACTAAGTTTTTTCTCTGTTGCTAGATGACTGGACTAGATCAACTGAAACTGAGGGGTATTATGGTTTTAAAAGAATGGAGTGCCAAGAACTTTAGAGGAGTTTTTAAATTAGTACATCTATTATACTCTGAATCATCTTACTTTTTATACTTTTGAACTGCACTGGCTTGTGGCTATAAAATTTGTGCTGAAAAAAAGTCTGAATATTTTGTTTTAGTTACTAGTTAAATTTTTCGGTTAATTACCTCTGTGACAACAGTTTAATTTGGCAACATATTGCAATCAATCTTACAAGCTATTCATCTAAACAGAATATTATTATTTTGATACAAGTGATGGTAAAGGAAGGGTAGGAGTTGTTTGTTTCATTTTATATTTTTAAAAGCTTCATCACTAAGCATTAATTTAACATTTATGAAACATGTATCAGCATAATTTTGAAATATTCTGTGAACAAACAATAATACACAAGCATTCATTTTAAACAGGGGATACTTTCTTTGAGAGTCAGTTTGGTCTAGTGGTTCAGGTGCTAGACCAGGGGCACTGGAACTCAAGTTCTAGTCCTACCTTAGGCATGGAAAGCAGCTGGGTGACTTTGGGCCAGTCATTCTCTCTCAGCCCTCGGAAGATGGCAATGGCAAACCACTTCTGAAAAATGCTGCCAAGTAAAACTGCATGAAATTCACCGTGTAGTCACCAGAAATCACTGACTGAAATCACAACAGACATACATACATGCATACACACAAAGTTTATTCTCTCTTGTAGAAAAAAGAATTGAATACTATTGCTATTAAAGTTATCCTTAAGTTTTGAAGTACATTTTTTTGTTTTTCTTCTAAATTCTGTTATTAAATCCTGATTCATTTTAAAATGGGGGAGCAAGCATTTAAATGTGACAGTTTTTGTTTTTGCTTAATGAATATTTACAAGCAGAGGGTTTTTCGGACTTAAGTTGTATATAAAACAGATTTAAACGTGGTTGCTTTTTCCAATTTAAAAAGAGTAATATTTGTGCACAGCTCCAGAACTAGTGTTATTTTTCCTCACTGGGTATTGAATATCATGGCACAGCATTGTAAGTATTAGTTTTTAATGGCCTGTTCTAAATGCCTACTGGCTTGCATACTAAAATAACATTTTAAAAATAGCTAGAGAGGAGAAATCTAGGAAACCTTGTTTTATTTTAAACATTTCTATAGTCTTTACTATAAGCTTTTCATTACTATGAAACTACAGGTAGTTAAGAGCAATTTAATTAGACAATACCAAATATAAGTAATAAATAGTAACAATAAATAGCAGAATTAATAAAACCTGGTGCCCTGAACTAGCAACAAACCAATTCACAGGAACTAGGCCTCAGTGCTAAAAGCAGTTGGAATTAAAACAGCAGATGCCTGCTGCAAAAACATTTTTGAAATAACCAGGATTTTTTATCAGCTTTAAAAAAACTGACAAGAGAAAGAATTAAGCAGACCTTTGTACAGAAGCTCTTCCTAAAATGATGAATGCATTGTCCTTGATCTTCTAGTTCCCACTGAACTTCAGTTAGTGAGGAAACATAGATCAGATGCTAAGATCCTGACCAGAAGATATGAAAAGGCATACATGAGAGAGATAATGATCTTTTAGTTACTAGCCTTTTTTTGTTCTTTTAAAGCTAAGAAAAAGCTCCTTAAATTGGATCAGAGACAAATTCCTCCATTTTTAGTCAGGGTTAGGGTTAGGGTTGTAAGCAAAACATTTAATAATATTAACATTTATGGCTCAGGGTGTTATGCAGAGGCAACCTATGAGATTGGCTTATGATTTATTGTATTGTATGAATCCAGGCTGTTGGATTAATTTAGTCAATCATGGCTCAGTTAACAGTGGGTTTGCATGGTTTCTGAACAACCTTCTTGTGAGCTTGGTTTTTGTAAGCTACATGGTAGGACCTCTATTCTCATTCTTGGTAATGAATCATGCACATTGACTGTGCAGTATAACAATGATTACTGTTGCATTATGGATGATTTTCCTATTTTTTTTTTAACTCCAGAAAATTGTTAAAGGAGGCCAAAGCCCTCAATACAAGGAAAAACGTTTCAAAGACATACACAGTGATACACCTGGTCCTGGAACATATTGCCAACCTCCTTCAGTGAATCCAGAAGTTAGTAAGGCAAGGAGACAATTGAAAATGCCTTCTGCACAGGTATAGCAACATAAACAGGAATGCTGAATTTTAATTGACAGTTAATATTGACAGTTAACACTGACATCAACTTTACATATGGCATGTTTCCTATAGTGAGATACTTTCTGCAAATAGTCCTGTAAAAGACAATACATTTTCAGAGATTTCTGCTTTGTTGAAGTTGCAGATGTAAGGATTTGGAAGCCTGGACTATATGGAAATGTGTTATCAGTTATACAGATATTTGTGTGATATAAGTTCATCCCTTGCACAGATATTTGAGGGCAATGGGCAGAAAAGGTTACTATTTCACTCCTGTAGTGGTTACCAATGCTACTGCTCCAGCTACCAATTCTATATGAGGCTTCCATATTATGATGAGGTTTCTGCTCTGACAATTTTCTTAGAGCAAAATGAATTGATTCCCCTTCACTAAAGATTTCCTATGCAAACATGGGCCTCTATTTCAGTGTGGTATGTATGTGGCTGTTTGTCACTCTCTTTTTGCCCAGTTTTCTGAGAACTGGGCATGGGAAATATTTGTAGAAATATAATTTCTATCCTAGAAAGGTTAAAGCACTACTTTTATGCATTAGGAGTGTGCAAGCTGGGAATCTCGTGAAGGCAAAAGTTTTTGATGCAGATAGACAGAGGAAAGAATTGCTTTGCAAATATTTGAAAAAGACTGGATAAAAGTTTTTTTCAAGGGATTTTATTTTTTATTTAATAAAACAATTGAATTTCATCATTAAGAGAATTGCAGAACAAGGTATATGTGGCTTAGAGATGAAATGGTATTCTGTTTATATAAAAAAAATCAATCTGTAGAGACCTCTCTTATGATCACTCTTTCTACTGAAAGGTGGAGTTACCTTCCATTTACTCCTTCTCCTGCATGACTGATTCCTTGGTTTTAGAGCATTGGGAAGGGAGGTTGAGGCTTGGACATGGAATGGAGATAGCACTGGTGGCTGGATTTTTATCAGGCCCTGGATAAAGGAAATCCCTCCTGGTCCTTTTAGACCACTTAGTGGCTTTTGATACTACTGGACAGCCTGCATTAGTCAGGGGCCGGGGCACTAGGTTGCAGTGGTTCCACTTCTTCCTTAGTAGGTGGTTCCAGTCAGTAGTGGGGAAGCAGGAATGATCAGTGGTGGTTTGGTGTGGTGAGGTTCTGTCCCCCCTTTTTAAACATTTACATGAAGCCACTGGGAGAGGTTATCCAAAGTTTGGGGTTTAATATCATTAATATGCTCATGATATCCAGCTTTATATCACTACCTCAGGTCAGAATGGCGATCCCATTGAGGTTCTCTCCCCGTGTCTGGAGGCTGGGAAGGTCTGGTTGGGAGGTTTAAACTGAATCCTAGTAAGACAGAGCTACTGTTTGTCTGAAGTTCTCTGTCTGCTCTATCTTGATGGGTGGCATTATCCGTGAAAGAGCAGGTCTGTTGTTTGTGGGTTCTTTTGGGCTCATAGCTATTTATAAGGCAGCATGGTGGAAGTCATGGGCAGGAGGACCTTTTCCCAGCTTTAGCTGGTATACTAGTTGCAGATCTACCTGGTGTAGGAGGATCTCTACAGAGGTCTTCCTGGTTATAGTTTGGTTTGGTTAATTTAATTTTATTCTGTTTTCATTCATTTGTGGACCTTTTCTTTTATTATTATATATTTTATCTTATAAACCACCAAGAGTTCTTCGTTTGTCTATAAATATGATAAGCAAAGAAACAGTAGGTAATTTCTTAAAGATAGACCAATGGGATGTAAATGTTCCCTAACAAATATGGCAGTAGGCACATATATCTTACAAAGGCCTTCCACAACTAGTACTCTTTAAAAGTAAGGGACCTCATCTCCAATTTCCAAGCTAATATGGCAAGTGTTTATGCTGACTGGAATTTGGGGCACATCTAGACAGTACCAGGTTGGCGAAGGCTGCCTTAAAGAATGCCTACAAGATGTGGGAAATGGTGGATATGGCCACATAATAGAGCAATTGTAATACATGTGGCTGTAGCCAATATCAAAACAGCTAACCCCAATTTTTAGACAATTTCAAGAAACAGCTATAGGACTTTGGACCTGTTGGGAAATAGTTAGATAGTGAACTCTCTGAAAATATGGATTAGTCTGATGAAATGTAAAGCACTAAATGAAAGATATTATGGAAATGAAGAATGAGAGAAGACATTTAGCATGGTCATCAAAGGTTAAGTGTCAAGCTTACTGTTCAGAAATTCAGTTGCTATAGCCTTTGAAAGAATCACAGAAGCTAAGTTCTGCATCGAGCAGATTTATTGATTTATTGTGCCATCAAGTCAGTGTTGAGTTGTGGTGACTGCCTAGTCTTGGCAAGATTTTGGAAGTGCCTTCTTCCTAGGGCTGTGAGAGGGTGAATGGCCCAAGGTTACCCAGCTGGCTTTCTGCGTAAGGCAGGATTAGAACTCACAATCTCCTATATAAAAGTAATTAAATCCATCTATTATATTTCCCATGTTTCCCATGGTTACCTCTAACCAACTAAATTATAAAATTCCCAATTCTCACTTATAGTGGCAGTATCTTATGCATTCTCCATATTTCTTTCCATAGAATAGATAAATTACTGGTCTCAGCCTAAGAAAGCTCCTCACTATCCAAGGAATCACTCAGGTAGGAGAAGGATTAGACCAAAAGTAGCTCCATCCTTTGATAGAAAGTGTGGTATTAAGAGAGATTTCTACTGATTGATCTCTCAAAAATCTGCAAAATTTATTTCAAATTCCTTAAGAACAATTCTTCCCTTAAATTGGGCTGTTGAGGTTGAGAAAACTTGGCTGAAATGGAATGGAGAACAAGGAATGATTTTTATATGAAAGGACTACAGTTCTAAGCCAAATATACCTTGTTCTCTTTGTGAAGTTCAGTTGTGTTATTTGGTGTTCTTTTGTAAAATAAATTCCAATCTCATATTATGTTTGATGGTTAGAAGAATGTGTTGTAAAGGAACTAATTCTACTACATTTATTTCTACAGAAACTTGCAGGCTGTATCAAATATTTTCGAAAGTCAGAGGCTCCATCTATTCCTTCTCAAGGGCAAGCATTTGGTTATGAAGAGGCTGAAGATGGGACACTTATAAAATATAGCCATCCTGTAAGAGACAGTACTTTGGGACCAGCATACTATCAAACAATATATGTAAGTAATTTTAAAAGACAGGACACTGTTCTTGACTCCATAGAATTATGAAGTTGATACTCAGGGCCTCTTGAACCCAAGACTCCTAAATGGGGGTCTCCAGGAACAAGCACGTGTAGGCTGGAAATAAGTGATTTTTCTACAAAAAATCTCAACTTTCCATTTCTTAAATCCTATTATCCAATGCATTTATCATACAAGTGAAATCCAACAGAGAGACTATAGAGTTCTTTCCATTTACGATACTTCACTCTTCATCTGGGAAGTACAGTGGCTTTGAACAATTAATCAGTTATAGCTGAGCTTTAGTCCTGGCAATGTTTACCTTGAAGTGATCTATCCAAGGTCCTGAAAGCGTTGCCTCTTACTGTGTGGCTTCACTACTAGATGTTGGGCATTCCTTTACATTTGTATCCTAGGATTTAGTTCAGATTGGATTCTCCCTGTCTTACCAGTTCCTGCTCAACTTAGTCAACTTTTTTTTAGCAGATGACTATTCCATTTGTTCTCATTAAGATCATTAGCTCTTGATTAAGCCTGAGATATTTGTTCTTATACATAAACCTGTGAGTTTTTGCCCTTCCTGTACTTTCTTCAACCTACAGTCGATCAGATACATTCACCTTACTGCATAGAGATTTGATTATTTATCTTTAATTATGACTTGGATCTTTTAGCCAGGCATGGGATCTTTTATGTATTTTTGTAGCAGCATTGCTTTATGGCTTTGGCAGAAAGCCATAAAGCAAAGTTCATGGAGCATTAAGTAGCACTAAGACTGGGATAGGGCAATATTGAGAATGATCTATATGTGCCGCCTGAATGAGAACTGCTTCAAACTTCAATGATTTTAGCAAATCTGAAGATTTGCAAGAGTACAACTAACATTTACAACCTGTTACAAGGAACAAGCTTTACTTGGTCATATAATTTTATTATTTTGAATTGTTTTGTTGCCCCATCTGATGATATCACTACCTTTTGGAAACTAATTTAGTTTAGGTTGTAGAACTGATCCCTCAATGTGTGTGACATATATACAAGATTATTAGGAATCCATATGTACACACACACACATTTTTGTTTGCATAAAATTCTTTAAATGTTGCTATAATTTGCTTCTGTGGATCTATAATAGAGAAATGGGAGGAAGTACGCATAAATCACCATAATATTTCTTGGCTGATTGCTTTGGTTACTTGGCTTTGTACTGAGTCATGTATTGTTCTGTTGGTTCAGAAACAGAGAGGAGTGATCGTAAGATTCCTGTAGAATAACTATTTTTCTTAGTGATCCTTTTAACCCGTAGTACTGGTAACTTGGCATAGAAGAGCAAGAACATAAAAGACACCTTTTGGCAGATACAATAATATACCATACTTGTGGATATGAAGCTAAGAGTCTTTTCCCCTAAATAATCACGTGTGGTTTGGGATGGAGGCTCCTACCGAGAATAGAAAACACTGTTGAAAATGAGCTGGAAGAGGAAGTGGCAGCAGACTGGATGCTTTTGAAGACTGGTTAGTCATTTGTAAAACTTAAATAAGATTCCCCCTTTTTAAATCTTCCATGCGCAGATATACTGCCTCATCTTCATCCAATTTTGCCCCCTGCTTTTTTTTCTTTTCTTACCTTGTTGGTATATCTACCCCTTCCTAATCTCCATCCTGATATTTTTCTTTCTTTCTCTTGCTTCTGCTGAAAAGAGGGAAGATTGTTTCTATGTGTGTCTCTGCGTGCATATACTAGTGCATTTTTCTGTATGAGAGAGGTTTGTAGATATAAGCTTGAAAGGTTGATATATGCAGATGGAAATCAATTAATTTTATAAATGTGGTGCCTTATTTTACAGGCAATTAATTTTAATCAGTAGTTATTAATTCAGTTAATAGTAATGTATTTTCCGTCCCTGTCCTGGCCCTTTTTGGAGTGTTGTTTCTGGCAGATGTGATATACAATGCACATTTATGTATGCATATACTTATAAGCGTGTATCACCGGCACATATTCATAGTGGAGTGGTGGTGGAAATCTTCATTATTAATTACAAGTAAAGTTAGCAACTGTAGGTTGACAATGTGGGGAAGATAGGAGTTTTATCATATCTTGGTGTGTGTGTGTATTCCTGTCTATTCTTCCTTTTTAGGAAGAATTGACTTAAATTCAGGACCATTTTGTTAGCTATCTCTGTAGAAATACCCTCTGTGCATAAATAAATGCTTGGAAGCCTTGTCAAAGGCCTTGAAACATCCATGTCAAACATTCAAGCAGCTGCAACTGTTTCATGGATTTGAGAAATGGATCCAGAGAATCACTTTGCTCACTGAATGATTTGCGTAGACCTAATTATTTCCATGTGTAATGAAATAATTTATAAAAGTTTCTAGATATTTCATTGTATTATATAATTGCTTTCAATAATTTTATTTTTTCCAGTTAGAATCTAGATAATGTAAAATAGCATTTTGATCTGATATTTTCTCAGATCTTAAATCTATATGTTTTTTATTCAACAAAAGAACTGATTTTAGTAGAAAGCACATATATTGCATGTTCAGTGTTGCATGGAAGTCCTGAGGCAATGCAAATCATCTTTTACACACTACAAATTTAATAATAGAGAACAGTGATGTGAAGTTTGTGCTTAACTAAAATAAATATGGCATCAATATAATACTGCTTGTAATTCTGTGAGCTGTAGGTGAAAAGCAATGGTGTTCTGTTATTCTGTTTCTGTGGTCTATTGTCAAATCAGTTCCCAGGTAAGACTTACTAAAAGACAGATCACCAAACCAGAAGAACAGAACTTCATTAGTTGTTGCCTACAGCTCAGAACTCAAGCCATTCAAACACTTTATTAATAAGCTGCAGCCCATATGAGACAATGACACTGTACTTTCTCAGGCATTGGGTGGAAGGCCCATATTTGCACACAGACAGCCACCCAACCTGAAGAAGATTCTCACAAGCCACAAGAAACAACACGACAATGATGTCAATATGAGAACCAGACCCTATAACAAACTCAGATGTCTACTTTGCCCTCACATCTACACCAACACCACCATCACAGTCTCCAACAAGTACATACACAAGATTAGAGGCATATTCCTGTGCTCTTCCTCTAGTGTAATACGTGCCATCATCTGGCAGCAATGCCCTTCTGGATTCTACATAGGACAAATGGGACAAATTTTGCATAAAAGAATGAATGGACACAAGTTTGACATCAGGATTCAAAACAAGGATAAAGTAATATCAGAACACTTGAACCTCCAAAGTGTTCCATGGCAAACCTCAAAGTGACTGTTTTAGAAAGCAGGACTACAACACCATTGAGCAAGAAATTGTTGAACTCCCATAAACCAAAAGCTTTGAGACAATCTTAGAAGGTCTCAACAAACACAATGGATTTTTAATGCATTACAATTGTGAATTGATAAGGTACTTGTAATCTGTCTCACATGTAACCTGAATCTGCGTGACCAACCTGTCTTTCTTTCCTCTCTATCTTTCCTCCTCTACCTTCCCCCAACAACTAACCCCAGTTTAAATTCTACCTCAGTCTAGTCCTCTGTGCATTTGATGAAGTGAGCTGCAGCTCACTAAAGCTTGTGCCTTTTAAAAATATTTGTTGGTTAGAAACAGTGCTCCTAGACTCTTAATTATAAAAGATTTCAGGCAGAGCATTAGGGGGCAGCAGAGTCATTCAATTGAGCTGCTTGATTTTGGCAGTGTAAGGCATTTTGCTGTGTCAAATTGCCTGTGTTAGATATTGCAAAAGAAAAATCAAATCTTTAAGGTTTTAAAAAGATTAAGGATATCTTATTAAGTATTGAAAGAGTTATAGATGATTCTACTGGTGCATCAGTGTTTTATTTTGCATTTATGAATTATTTATGCTACTGGATTTGCCTCCAAAGAAATGGTTTGTTTATTTATTATAACATTCCGTAGTGATCTTTGAGCATTCTTATTGATTGGAATGTTTATGCCCAAGTTTCATCTTGCTTACTGCAACCCCCCTGAGTTCACTGCAGAATGGGAAACATTGTATTTGCAAAATATGGAGTGGAAAGAGGTGCTATGATAAGGATGTGAAAATGGTGAGCCATAGAACCTAAATAGATAGAGTTTCATGAGGAAGGAGACAAAATAGAGCATGCACTTAGTTATCTGCTCCAGAATGAGTTGTTTCAGGTGAATTGCTATTAGTTAAAAAAAAAAAATCAGAACATAGGCTGTCCTCTAGTCTGCTAGTTTTTAGTTATAAATTCAAATAGGGCAAAAGTCTAAATTCTGCTGAAGCACCTTTGGTTTTTTTGTTGTTGTTGTTGACCAGAAACATGCAGTGAATAATATTTCCAAGTATAGTTTTGGAGCAAGAAATATTTATGTCAATGGTTGGAGAATGAACAGAGGCATAGCACGTATTAGGATTATTGGAGCTAGACTATTTAAAAGCAGTTAGACAGTTTTAGTTGGTTTGCAACTTTTGATAGCAGGTCCTCAAACACCAAAAATTCCCTCCTTGATTTCCATCCAAATCACTGCATAACACAAAAAATAGGCATAGGGAACTTTACAGATTATGTCACACTACATATAGGGTGGGCTCTGGATTTACCTTTTGATCTCTCTCTCTCTCTCTTTTTCAGGGCAGACATATCAACAAGCTTGTTAAAAAAATAAATAGGAGACTCATTGATTTGTACTTCAACTGTGTTTGGGGCTAATATGTCTTTGAGGCACAGTGAATTGTACCTGGACCAGGGAGAGCCATAGTTAAATCCCTGCTTAACCATAGGGCTTGATAAATGACTGGGACAATCACTTTCTATCATCCCATTGTATCTCACAAGGTTGTTTGCAACCATTCTGGCCCAAGGTTAAAAGGTACAAATAGTAGGACATGCAGGTGAAGTTGTCTTCGTATAGCAAATCTAGTATAGTATCATACAGTATTTTGATTTATTCTATTATTGTAGAGAGTAGACTTC